TGGTCCGCTAGACCTGCTGTAAAAGATTTTTGATTCATTATTATTTTGAAGCCCGCCCTCAACGTGTGCGCGAATAACATGTATCGTGAAAAATTCCTACGATGTGTTGGGGACCGTTGTGTGCCACTCTATGCGCGTGAATAAAATTAAAAACAAGTAAACGTCATTCATTTACATAACGTTTAAGAGCATATGTACAGCTAGCTCACATGTCCAGTCTCTATGGTTCAATTCTTCGGCCGGCGCCGGCTCGTTGCGCATATTGAAAGGAACGCTAGCTTTAGTTATAAAGAGGCTTTGCTCTTTGAAGCCTACTCTTCCCTGAATGGCGAAGAAACGTTCCTCATCGATGTACTGACTGCTGTTGTATTGGTGCGTATACACACTTTAATTTCACTCCTTTTGGTTTGTAAACTTCACATTGTTGTCATTTTCAGACCATGAAAGCCATAGAGGAAAACTACGCCTGGGCTACATGAAGCGAGAGGTGAGAAATCAATTTTTTGGGGGGGGGAGGGTCATCTGGTACTGAAGTCTGTCATGTCTGTGGCTTCAGCAGGCATCAACAACTTGGTAACAAATTATTCAGTAATTTTCATGCGTTAAAGAAGATGTGTTAACAATCAAACGTGTGTGGATTTTGACAACGAAAAGCACTGGTCTTACCTTGATAGAGTAACTTGAGGAAGAGTTGCATATATGCGAACGCCAGTAATTTTTCCCTACAGTGACCCATTAGCCACCCGAAAGCAAAATACATGTGTATGTCCGGTAAAGTTCAGTTTAGGAGGGAAAATACCATGAAGTCGCTAACTGAGAAAACACTTAAATTTTTCAGACCAGTCTCACAGAGTTTGTACACGAGGTTTCAAGTAGCTTCTGTAAATGGAACTCTTTCTGGAACTTGTTTTAGTGGTTTATCAGAGATCAGAAAGTGATAATATTCTGTAAAAGGTCAAGATTATAGCAGGGAAAATTTTCAAAAATTTATTGGAAACTACTTGATTTTTTCAGACTAGTTTTGTCATAGGGTGTGTTCGCAAAGTGTCAGGTGAGGTCTGTGACATGGGAACTCTTTCCTTTTTGAGGGAAAAAGTATGAAAAAGTAGGTCTACTCAGTGGAGCCTTAGTATTCTACTTTTTCAAATTTAAGTATGACCGATCCCATGCAAAATTCGAAAAAGAGGAATACTATCAACCCCCTACATAGTTTACACATCCTCCCAGAACTGTGAGGCACCACACTGTGTGCGAGTAGTGCCTCACAGTTCTGGAAGTAGTTGACACAGTAGTTGACGATCCTCTAGTCAGTTTTCTATTTATCGTATCTGGATTCACTCAAAAGATTGTAGTTACGCATGCAGGCCAAAGTTAATGTAGTACAAGTCACTAACTGCTATGAGTGGTGTACATAATGTACATGTACCGTGTACTCCACTGTTTGTGGGCCTAAACTACATGTAAGGGATGAGGAAACTGAGCAAAGAATTCCAGACTTGTGAATCATCCTGATTTAAATTTTTTGAGTGTCATCAACATCCTTGACCCTAGACATCCAATATTTCATAAACCTAATCTTCCTACTTTAGGTGCTGAACCCTTCTTTCTTCACTAGCATCCCCCTCAAATTATCAAGTGTCTCTTGTCAAAGTTAATCATGTTTGCGACACTTTTAAGTTGTGATGGGACAGTAACCCTGACCCTCTAGTGTGTAAAAGTCATATTAAAATTGGGGGGATTGGGGACTGTTCAGAAGGGTAACATGCCAGCCTCTGAGGTACATGTACAGTGCCTGGTTTAATCAGTTGCTTTTTTTATTGAATTTATTTGTTCCGTGCAATGCAAACAATTCTGGAAACCCCTTGCATGTATGTACACGTATATATTTTCTACCGTAGGTGGTGTCCTTGGATTTTTGTCATTTCCTGTATCCTCTTTCCTTTTCCATTATATTGAAATGTGTCCATAGTGTGACAGTGGTGTTCTTTCTAAAAATATGAAGTTTAAACAAAGATATGTAATACAAAATTGCTGCAAACTGCTTGCTGACTACAATGACCTAAAATACAAATCTCAAAATATGGAGGGCC